AGGAATGAGGAATGGTGGTATAAAATATTACAGCATTAAATAGAAATACTTTGGTAAGGATTATATTGCCTAAGATATATATCTGTAGATATACTGATAATAGTGCAGTACTTACAATACAGCAACATATCACTTTGCTTTGAGTGGATTAATACAGCAGTGGAGATGGCTTTCAGAAAGACATCTGTGATTGATGTGTATGTTTTTAGTAATACTTCAGACAATGAAAGTTCTTACATAATAGTAGTAAACGTCTATAATATAAAACTTCCTGTTGAAATAGGAAAACATTAACAACCACCACTTCACAAATTACAACTGCACAAAAATATAAAAGAAAATAATATCTAATTCTTGTTACTTAATTTACCAAGTACTTTTACAGCTGCAGGCCATGGCAGTAGTCCATCAAAAAGATCGCGCAGTGCTGTTCTCAAACATGATCTGTACCTACTTCTTCAGTGTCCAGCCACATCTGCAGAACTCACTAGTGACAATGAGCTTGACAGCTCTGCCATTAACATTGAGGATTTGTTAGTTCGGCCTTGGTTGCGAGGTCGCTGTTGAAATGGACTTGATGATTGATAGAACAGCCTCATCACTCTGCACAAGCGGGTCGGATGATGGTCTGGCCAAGCCTGTAACGTGATGTAGGAGAGCAGAGCTGGAGACCCTGACCTTGGGAGTGGGTTAAGAATGGTTTGATACTTTCCAAACTAAGCAGGACATTATTAAGAAACTTAAAGAGCCCCTCAAAACTTTCTGGAAAATTTTACTACTTAAGGGAAAGATTTATTCTTAGGTGGTAGTGGTTTTTTTTTTTTTTTTTTAAATCTGTTGCAAAAATAAAATTAAGTATTTACATATAACACTAAATATTTCCAAAATCAGCAAGTCCATGCTTTAGGCCTTCTTCTGCTCCCTCCCAAAGAGTTGTTTCTCCTTCCCATGGCAAACTTCTCCCTGCAAATACTTGCACTTCAGTATACTTAAAAAGGAGGTCAGTAAGATAAATCATTGCTGAAGCTATGCAAGCAAAATTAAACCAAACCTGGGAATCCTACTATATTCTCTGTTGCTGTCGCAGTTCCAAGTAGATAATGAAAATCACCTAAATACTAATTCTGGTAAAGGACTTTTGGCCTCGTACCTACTTTACAACCTCTTGATTGACAAATTAAACCTAAGGAAATTGTTAAGCTGAGAAGCCAAATTAATCCTCGCTGTATCTGTAATGGTTTTGTTGGAATTTGGGCTACCCAGTGCAGACTATATCGTATCATTTAGGATAGGCAAGCAAGTAGCGAGTAATGGGCAAGCAAGTAGAGAGTAGAGCATGAAACATGAGACATGAAGTACTATGGCACAATAAATAGAATTATGCATATATATGTCAAACATAATGTAATTTAGTGTAATTATTCTGCCAGCAGAAAGTAAGTATTCACTCAAACAAGTCAACAGAATGTGATTGTGCCGGAACAGGAGCTGCGATGGCTCTATTCAGGGCTATATGCTGTCCCCGTTAATGCTGGCTTGAGTTCCTCACACCAGAAGAGCACAGGGACAGACTAAGAGTTTGCCAAGTATTTTGTTTGGTTACCCTGAGAATGAAAAGCACTTTGGATACTCCTTTTAAAAATAATAGCATACTACTGCATCTTAATTAACTCTGTGTTCTTTAAGATAGTGGGAGTTTGTTCTTAAACATATGGAGCTAGTTCTTATTTTGGTATTAAATTAAGAGGGCTCAACCCAAAGCTCCTCAAAGATGGCAAAGTCATACGGGGCCAAATCTTACTCGCTCCTCCTCTTTTGGCAAGGAACATGGTCTCACACCAAAAGATACCCTGGCTCTCTCCTGCCCACCCCTCCAGAGGGACTGCACAGCCAAGGGTCCACAACAGGGCACAGGTCCTGCGCTCAGCCACACCGCCGCTCTGCGTGCCCCACGCGCAGGCCTCTAGCACGGTACTTTCAGCAAGTAGCTGGGCACGGGGGCCTCGGGCTCCGCAACAATGTGGTTCTTGCCACCTGCATTGGTGGCAGCTAGATGCATGACGGAAGGGGTGTGGGTGTGCTGAGGGCAATGGACTTTCTGGTTAGCTGTCAGCCTGGGGCTTTGTGGGGGTGCCTGAGTCTGCAGGCTGCGGCTGTGCACAGTAACTCCCTGCTCCCAGAGAATCTGCTCTCTGCTGCTGCCACCCAGACAGAGCTGCTGGAGAGTTTTGTCTCTTCGTTATCTATTGATTTGTCTTTTGTTTGTTTTTTAAGAAATGCTAAACTAGGATCCACTATATTTGGCAGCTGATGACGATTCTCCTACTCCTTAGGAGAGCAAAAATTTCCCAGCATTACGTAACAGCGGCTTCGCCCTCCACTTTCTTTGCCTATCAATTCAAGGTCGGTCCTGCCCTCAAAGCGCACCAGCTGCACTCCCTTCCTACCTTCCCTGCAGCAACCCAGCCAAATGCGCTTGCTCGTGCTTTTTCCCATGACGCAGGCGGGCATAGGTGGCACCAGCAGCCCAGGATACAGAGTCTCTTAAAAGTGCACGAAATGATGAAAATCACTAATCAAGGGCTGGTCTTCTGTTTTCCGCTGTAATACCTTTTTGTTGTTCATGGTCACTACTGATTCTGCTTCTTTTGCTTCTTGGTGATAAATGAGTCATTTCAGGTAAATACTTCGCTATCACTTGTGCAAATATGCTTTTTTTATTTTTGTACATATATATTTCTTCTCTTTGGGATGGCTCTTGTAATAATGCAATCAGTGTTTCGCAAATGAGCTACCCAAGGCGGTCACTGAGGACACTGGATTTCAGTGACCAAAGGGATCAGCAGGTGATGAGGAAATGCTTGCTCAGCCCCTGCCGAGGAAGCTAACGGCCTCCCAGGTGGCCACGTTTTAGCACAGGTAAGGATCTCCAGATCCATTGGGAGGCAGGGAAATGCTGCTGGCTCTTCCTGTAAGAACTTTTGAGATGAAAAACATATTTGGGGCTGCATCCAGCAGGTGGCAAGCACAGCCGGTGGAATTCTGTCCGAGACGGAGCTGCTTCAGCCAGGGAAAGCTCCGGGTGCTGCTCGCCATGTGCGCATCTGCGCACGAACGCAAGGTCGCTCTGCTGAACGGCAAACTCTGCCAGTCCTTTGTCAGCTCGCTGGGTGCTGAGGCAGTGGAACTGCTCTGGACGCTATTTGTATTGCGCGGGATTATTGCCATATTCATTTTTAATGAATGGCTGCCTCGTGCAAGGATCAGTATAAGCTAAATAGAAAGCATTCTATATAATAATTAAACTATGTCTTTGAAAGACACATTCAGGTTTCAAATTTCGAGATACTAGCTTGCAATTAAGTTAACTTACACCCTTAATGCAACAGGACTTTTTTTAACATACAGCTATAGAGGTTTTAGTGAATCCTCATAGAGCCTTGTGACATACCTAAGTAGAGCTTGTTCCCATGCTGTAGCTGGAAGAATACAGGCAAAACTGAAGAAACTTGCCTTAAAATAAGTGAATGAAAGAGCAGGAAGAGGCACAAGATTCCCAGATCTGGTTGTAGTCCCATTTTTTTCTTAAAAAGTATTAAACTACAGAAATAACTTTTTTGTCATATTTTGATTTTAAATAAATTATTTTTACTTTAGGAAATTAGAATATTTGTGTATAAGTGAGAAGCTGATAATCAGAAAATACGGATAATCCAACCGCTTGTTACCTGAGACAAAGCCACACTAGATCTGTAATTTTTCAAGATTATAGATCTTGCAAAATCTGAAGTGTCATGGAACTGTCTACATGATATATGTAAAGTTTTGGAATTTTTCTCAAGTTTTGTTATATCAAACAGTATTTAACTCATTTATCTTTGAAGATACTAAATGAGTGTGAATCAAAAATAAATATTTTCTGGAGTTCATTATTTGAGGTCAAAGGACATATGAGGATATCATTAGCTGAAACTTGCTACAGTACTTACCACCTTTTCCCCTCATTTGTATGGAGAGTTTGGGCCAGACTTTTGTTCTGATTTATGCTAGTATAAATTTGAATTTGTTCCATACACGTAAAAAAAGGTTCTACAGGGAGAAAATACTCTAGGTTTAGTTTTGTATAAGTGGAGAGAAATTCCATAAGAGCCAAGAGTAAAGTTTGGTCTCAGATGTTTTGTGATGTGACTAAAAGCATTATTAGTTAAACTGTAATATAGGCATTGTCACATTTTTGCTTATCAGAATGTGAGTTCATTAAATGTCCAGGAATTTGAAAAATTGAGTGGATTTGATTAATTGGTAATTTCTCTCATTGAGTGCACTGGTTATTATACAAAAATAGTTTTCTGATCACCTCTGTCCCAGAACTCATGTTTTCAAATACAGAATTTTACTTTCAGTCACACAGAGTATGGAGTCAACCCCCTCCATAAGTGATGTTCTTCAAAGTCAGTGTGGCATACCATGAGGAAAGGTTGAGTGAACCCTATTTTTGTGTGTGTGAATATATATACACTTATTGTTTTTCAACTACTATAAAAATACCCACTGGGATATAAATGTACATTTCTGAAGAAATGTTTGAAATCTATGAGTAGGAATAAAAATCTAAAAATATATTTTTTCTATATTTAATAAATAAATCTGGATCTATTGCATATATTATTATGAAAAAATTGCCATTTAAAAAATTAAAAATAGTAGCAGAAATCAGAATGAGACCAATTTCAAGGACCTTAAATTTCCATTTGAGTTTAAAACTGAGCCTCTATATATAGCATATATTTGAAAATATATTATAAATATGATGACATGAGAAAAAACCCCCAACAAAACAAGTAGTGTAGCTACATCAACTCTTTGAACAAACTTTGGAATAGCTCATGTATGTGCAAACCAGGTCCTTCATAATTCATGTAATTTAAACAAGCTTTTCCTTTAAAAAGACCTCTCAACTTTAGTTAGGAGTTTTCTGTACCCTTCTCTTGTAGTTCTGAGCAAACGGCAGGATGCTGACAGAAACTCTGACATGCCTGTCCACCATTTATCTTGCTTTCAGTAAAGAAAAATGAAAACCAAGCAGTCCTCTTCACAATGTAAATTACAAGGCCACTGCCAAATCTTTACAGTATGATTTCTCCGATATGATCTAATGTTTCTGTAATGAGCAGTAAGCTGTGATGTTCAGGACTGCAGATGAATTTTGTCATTCTTGCTGCTTCGCTCACAAGGTTGTTCAAAAACAGTATATTGCAAAACACATCACTTAGTGTGGAAAGACCCAGCAGACCTTTTTAGTGGGCAAGCGTATGTTTTCTGTTTTCTGGTGGCCGATATGAGAGGGAGCTCATTTTTGTTGTTAGGCTTGGATGTGTGCTGACATTTGGTGGAATGTATTTTATTAGCTGAAGGAAGTATTTTTTAAAGTTTTTTCCAAAAAAAACATAAAAGAAAGGATTCAAACAATTGTTAAAGTAAGCGATGCAAATGGTGAAGGGCATAGCCGTATCCACAATATCAGTGATTTTGCAGTCTGTTATTACATGTAATTGAATTAATACATCCAAAAAAGTGAACACTTGGTGAGGAATCCACGAAAAGAAGAAGAAAAACACTATTGCCACTATCATCTTAAAAATATCATCATTTCGAGTCTTATTTTTCTGAATGCGATATGCTTTCTTCAGGGTCTTCCAAATCAAGGTGTAGCTTGTCAATATGATCAGAAAAGGAATTAAAAAGCCCAGCAAATTTTTGGATAAACCTAACCCGACCCGGAGCGTTGTGTTGTTGTTGTCATACCGAAAACCGCACACTGTCATGTTCAAGTTCTCGGCAAAGAATATATTGCGGTGAATGATGACGGGCAAACTGGCCACGCCAGCGAGAAGCCAGATGGCAATGCAAGTTATTCTGGCAACAAACATGGTACGTCGAATTCGGGACTTCACGGGATGTACTATGGCCAGGTACCGGTCAATACTAAGGCTTGTGAGGAGGAACACGCTGGCGTACAGGTTGAAACTTATCCCTGCTGATGCTAACTTACACAAACAGTTGCCAAAAGGCCACTGGTACTCCATGGCCGTGTAGGCTGCCCAGAGTGGCAGAGTTATTAAAAAACACAAGTCAGCCAGTGCCAGGTTTAGAAGAAAGATGCTGGCTACTGTTTTTAATTTCATGTAGCAGTAAATGACAAGAACGACCAGGCTGTTCCCAAATATGCCTATGATAAAGATGATGCTGTAAACAGTTGGAACCATAATGTAGATGTAACTGTGCCTTCCTGAAATGGGACAGTCGACGTGGATTCTTTTAACAGTTTCATCAGTAGAGTAATTTGGAATCATCTTGATCTCTTCAGCTATAACCTAGTTTCAGGGAGAAAATATGAACTTCACACCTAGGAGGGGAAAAGAGGAAGAAAATATTATTCATGACAGGGATTTGACTTTTAAAAAGTTTCAATTAAATGTCAAGTTTTTGTGTCTAACACAACATGTCAATTTGAAAATAAGCCATCTTCGAGTGTTTTCTCAACCAATTTCTATTTTAATATAGACTTTGCAGAATAAAACAGAGGTAAGAATGTTAGGAGTTGGCTGAACATTGTTAGATTCTTTTTAATGTAAATGAAATCTAACAAACTTCTTTCAATTATCAAGGTTCCACTTTAAAATAAGACTAGTTAGGGAACATACGTCATAAAACAGAGACTCAGAATAGCAGATAACTATAAATTCAGGGGACTCTTCAGGTTATTTTCTTTCCATAAGCAGGCAATATATCTAATGAGCAAAGTTATTCAGATATCTCAGAAACTACAAATAAGCACTCTGAATACTAATTCATTCTGTAAATACAAAGTGTAATGCATTAAGAAAATAAGTGAATTCAGATAGGTACCCATTTTGATCTCTTATGTGAATCACTACATTTTTTTTCTATCCATTAAGCTTAATTCTTTGAGACAATTTTTACATCACAGAGAAAGATGAAAACACTCACAAAATCTAGTGTTCTGTTGTACTATAAATACCTCAAATATTCAGAAGTTACCTAGCTCCCCATCTGGCTTGGAACTACAGTATGTAATTACTAGTGATGAGAAAAAAATCAGAAAATCCAGATGTGCTGATTTGTTGCACATAACTGAAGAAAGAGTTTAAGAAGGGTGCAAGGGGGAACAACAATCCATATTACGTTTTCGGTTACTGACAAAATTTATGTATCCAAGAGTTTAAGTTTTAGTGTATGAAAAATATGTCTGGACTGTATTAAGGGTATGCAAATAGTGTGAAATTTCTTTACCAGGGCACCTGTTGGGTTTGCCAGGGCTTTGTGTTTTGCAAGAATGATTTCCTTAATGACTTACAGCATGTTACCTGCTTCCTAAAGTTGTAAGTGACTCTGACACGACATCTTTTCCAGAGTCTACAAACAGACAGACTTTGCTCAAAAATAGTGAATATTTAAAAAAACAAACCAAACCCAAAAACCAAAAAATAGATCGTTGTTATTGCAGAGTAGTGTTTATTGCAGTCTGAAGGATCTTGACAGCTGTCAGCCAAACCCAACTTGTGCTGCCTCGAACACAGATGAAGTGAAATATATTGTCTTTAAAAAACAAACAAACAAAACCCTTATAAACTTAAGTCACTTCTATACAGATAAATATGCACACCCTAAGGCCTTGGGCAGAACAGATGCATTCAGAAAGAAAAGGTACCTGTCATTGTAGAAATCCAGGCTATGTTGTTATGGAGGTGGTTGCTCGTTATTTGTGTTGTTCAGCACTGACATTCCTGTTAAGTGCAGAACGCTACTCTGTTAAGTGTTTGACATGCTCTTGTTGGGAGACAAATTTCAGTGTAAATGGATTGTCTTCTAATAGGGAAGTGAGGAACAGATAGGTCTCGGCAAAGCCCACGCAGGAAGTCTGAAGTGGAGCTGGGAACTGAACCCAGAACACGGGCTGCAGTCAGCATCTTGTGAGGAAGGTCACCCTTTGGCTCTCAATTTATTAGCTTTTAAAAGGCTCTGTATTTCTCTATCTTAGCTCATGTTCTATTACATGTTCGCATTAATAAGCTGATTCATTTCCATAAAGCTAGCAGGGCAACTTCAAGATTTAGGTTCTTGATAATTCTGTCAAGTTTGGAATATCTAGTTAAATGCAACTAATAAACCCTTTGTCAAGATGTGCAATGTGCCACCTCCCAGCCTCTCCAACTCATTCTGTGAATTAGTCTTGTTGCCTCAGTTGTTACAGATGCCTCAAAATGACATCAGCTATTTTTGCCCTGTTTAAGAAGTGAAAAAGTCAAGCAAATACAGCTGACATAAACAAATGTATGCCATTGATCACACGTGGCCCTGCAATACATCCTGAGCAAGACTTTCTGGCTTTCAAACTGTGCCAAATCTACAATACATGGTGTTTGGCTCTGTGGAAGGTCATGCCATCCACAGGACAGGAAGAACGACAACAAAAAGATTTCAAGATAAATCCTCTTATCTCATCCCTTGGTTGTGAAAGTGCCCAAGGAGATTTGACGATAACTGATAGGTTCTGCAACATCAAGGTCTGGCAATATTTGCTCTGTCTCAGCTACATGCTGGTGCTGCATGGTCTATTCATTATCATGGCCTTTGCTCACTTCTATACCCATGGAGATTACAGACCAGAATTTAGCAGCAAGAAACTGTAGTGAAATCTCTACTAAGAAGATCATCATTGCAAGTTAGATTTGCAGTAAAGTAGATCAGGGCCCAGTTAAGGCTGAGCAAGACCTTTCTCCATGACTAGATTAATCAGTCAGTGCTTGGCAAGCACATCCTGCTCTGTGTGTACTAACTGGCAGATTCAGGAGCCAAGACACATGTAGCTGATGGTGAATATTCCCCGTTCGCTGGGGTTGTTCCTGTCCAGCAGTAGATGCCAAGGCACCTTTCTCACGGTCACTTCATCGCACCCCTTCAGTACAGTGTGTTTCGGTGTTTAACTTCCAATTTCCCTCTTCTACCCACACGGTGGCCTGTATGTTTTCATGTCAGTAGTAGCTTTAGTTGATATAATTAATAGTGCATGTACTTTAAAGAAAGTGTAATAATGATTATATTACATTTTCAGAAATATGCTAAACTAAACAAAATCCTTGAGTTGGGAAACTTGTGTCTGACTTTCTAAGGTATTGAATTCCCTGAGCATATTTTGGAGTGCTTGTAAAGTAAAAAAGGCAGAACAATCCCCATGAAGAATCAGGAATGTGGTCGAGAAATGCTATGCTACTTCAGTGTACCTGTGTAAGACTGTAACCCTTCTGGAATTAAAGGTTTTAGTGTAACACTTAAGTCAGTGGAATTGTGCAAAGGACGTGTTTGGTATGTAGTCATTTGAAAATTATACTAAGGAACTACAATCAATCAATAAATTTATCACTATTTTCAGTAAATGAAAAGGAAGCAGAAATATGTAATGTAGTACAAGAGATACGGATCGCCATATGTGTATCTAAAAACAGTTTCAATGTTGCTGTGAGAACGAATCTCCTAACAGCCTTACATTGGAAGCCTGGTGGGGAAGGCACTGCTAACCCCAAGCTGGATTTTTTAATTTCCTGGAAATTTTGAAGCTTCAGAGCTAGCCTCAGGTAGATCTGCTGCCTTGAGGACATCTGTAACTTCAGAGCATTAGGAAAAGCTTCAACACAGGAGAAGAAAGTAATTTGTTTTGGAAGGCATGGGCCCCTAGCAGTGCTGAGTTGTGGAACAGGGCAGCTGTGGGGGTGTGAGCTCCTCACTGGCAATGACTTCTTCTCTTTTTCTGTACCGCTGTTATTCTCATTTGCCACAGTCCACCTGCTTGTCCCAGGACCACAGTTATATACATTTTATGCAAAGCAGACAATTCTACATGGGAAGTACTGCAGATTTTTTAAAAACTGTTACAGAAATAGATGGCTGGTACAGCTTTATACTGCCAGAATTCACCAGAGCAGGTTCTACCACTGGCCAATGAAATGCCAGTATTGAAATTGTGCACATTGATAATTCCATTTAAAGCATCTCAAATGATATGAGTTAACATAATAATAATTGGATCATTTTAAGGCTGATACACAAGGAGCTGCTTCTAAGAGGATTGAATTGATGCGGCTGTGATTGGTGTGGCAAGGTCAATCTGAAGTTATCTGGTGAGCAGCAAACCCCTGTTGTATGTTACTGGCCTGTCTGACCTTTTATCTTTTTTAATTACAATGATTATAATAAGTCACTGATAATGAAATGCTTCAGACTGCTCTACCAACTATTATTTACTGTTCCATTCACTGCTTCTGTTGGATGAACAGGCATCCTAATTAAACTGCCTGTGGAACAACAAGGAATGCTGAGCCCATGCAAGGTAAACAGCACTTTGCCCACTGAAAGATAAGATAGCACTGACTGGGGTTTTCTGCGAGAACATAATCAGCTATAAATAGGTAAGCAGGTGCCACAAGTCAGATTTTAAACAAAAATGTGTCTTTGATATTTGCTTTGACAAAGACTAAATAAACTCAGGCTGACTAACCCTGCCACTGTTTAGCCACCTCACCATTAGGTAATGTGAGGTTTTTTTTCTTCTGGTGGTAGGTGGATTATTTGCTTTCCCTAAAAATGAGAGGACACTTCCACATTTAAGAGGATGATGCATTCTATTTTTACATAAAATTATTGCACAGGGAGAAGAGAGGCTGAAAAATGTTTGGAACAACATGTTCCATATATTAGTAATGTTTATTTCTTTCTGGTAGCATAAGCTTTTCCTTTATCTTGAGAGTTTAATCCCCCCCTTCCTAATTTCTTCTATCTTCTTTTAATTGCTGAGAAACTAATGATACTTTCCACAGCCTTTTCTTCTTCCTAACCCCCTTTATTGTCATTGCCTTAATGAATATAATTTCTTCTACTTCATATGCCTACTTCAGTGTCTTCTCTGATTTCCTGAGCAGTAACACTGTGAAGCCATATATTTACCTTTCTCCTAGTTCTTATTTCTGCTGCTCCTTCTAATAGTCTGTATTTCCCACTCACGGCTTTCCTAAGTATTTTCAGTCCAGAGCTGAAAGGTGAATTTTGGAGGGTGAGAGAAACGCAAACACTGGCATATAAAGGCACATAATTCAAACTGTTGTGGCCCTGCAGCGTGCATAGGCCTCCTGTCGTCACTGCCACTATCTTCGACAGAGGTCAGCGCCTGACTTCATGCTAAATGACAATATATCAAAAAATTACTGAAATGGAACTGCAATAGCCAGTACAGAACTGGAACACTGTCTGAACATCAGTTCATGAGCACCAGGAACAAGAAAGCAAGCTTCAGAAGATTTGTATTAGTGACTGTCAAGCTGGCTGTTGCTT